CATCACCCAGCTGCGATTAACATGCCCAAATGCGACTTGTCACACCAACCTGTATACAAGTTTTTTTTAAATTTTTTTAATTTAATTTAATTATATTTTATTTTATTTAATTAAACATTTTTATATTTAAGTTTATTTAATGCATTTATAATTATTTAGAAGGGAAAAAAGTGATACCTTTAGTGTTACATGTATTTATAAAAGATGAAGTATTAAAATGTTCTAAAGTTGAAATTGAAAAGAAAATATGTTCAATAATTGCTCAAAACCAACTTACCTATTTTAATAGTATGCTGGTAAATGGAAAACAAAATAAGAAGTTCGACCCACTTGGGGGTTGTGCTATTGGTATGTCTAGTACTCATACAATGCCACCTAAGATTTTTGAAATTCATAATACTTTTAAATTTCATATTGAAATGAACATAACCACAATGGATTCTACAATGTCCTGGCTATATATGCGGATGTTGAAAACTATAAGAAAAATGTGATATAAAAATCACCCACAACATAATGCAGCCCATAATATGTTAAATAATCATTATGATAATCTATATAATTTCTATCTTTGGAATATATATAGTGGTAAAGTCCGTATAAAACACCAAAGTCATTCTACTAGTTAATCAATGGTTTTACCTAATAACATGATCTATTGTATTACTTATATGTAAAAGCATGGACCTAATTAACAGGCTTTCCTGCAAGTGATTTCTTTAAATATAATTATTTAACAGCTTATAGTGACGATAATGTGCTTAGCACTAATATACTTAATAATAAATAGAATCCAAAAGCAATTGTTGACTATTTTACAAAGAGGGGTATAAGCCTCAAGATAGAAGGAGAGTTTGATAAAATGGATAGGGTTGAATTTCTTTCTAAACAATATTATAGTTCAGAAGCTAAAAATACTCACTTTGATGTACTTGAAGTTTTTAAAAATTCAATTATATGTGCACTGCCTGGAGCAGACAAAACTACTTTAAAAGATTTATATGCTGATAAATTTATAAACATAGATAATTATGTAAATATAGAATTAGAAGAATTAATTAAAATAGCTGGTGATTATAATACTGTTAATAAAATATTTCAAAAACTTAGTTTGAAATTTTTAAATGAAGATAAAATAATTTTATACCATTCACTTGCACAAATTCATCCAAAACTCAACCAAAATAAATGAATCTATCTAATAGATAAAACACAAATATCAAAACCATAGTCTTTACAATATATAGAAAGTTATAAACAATATAAAGATTATAAATTATTTGATGAATATTTATCTGATTTCTTTATAACTAGATAAAGTTCAGAAATACATCCCTGATTATAAATATAATGTTGCTTTTCGACACAACAGGGATAAATTACTTATGAAATTTAGTGATATTAAAAAAGATCTAAAGAAAAACAAGACTTACTTGTTAGAACGAGTAGTTGGTTTAGCCAACAATTATGCATATTATCCTGACATACATACTATGTATATAGAATTATATAATAAATTAATATATCACAATTATTCCTATATAAAAACAATAAAAAAACGTTGTCCAATTAAAACTTATAAGAAGTAATGAACTACAATATAGTGAATTACTTAACCAATTATTTGATCTTGATATAAGCCCTATGGAAAAAGCTATTCAAAAAACAAAGATCATACTTAATGAAGTTGACTTTAAAGCAGACTTTCTACTTCAAAATTATCAAAATTTACTATATTGTTTAGATCTTGATTTTCCCACTATATCAAGGGATACTTTATTTTTTGACCCTGATATTCATCTGATTTGCTCAAAATTTATCATTGAAAGATGGATTTACCAAAATGGTGGTTGCCAAGATAGTTTGGGAGAAAATATGTTACTTGTCAAAGAGAGTCCTTTTGCTTCTATTATAAGTTTACAAAAATTCTTTGTAAATCAATTTAATTATGATTATAATTATAATTATTCTAATTTAATGAAATTATCAAATCACATAGTGGAAGTTTTTTTTGCTTTATTATTCATGAACACTATGGAAAAAATATTAATGAAAATACCAGTAATCTGATTTTTCTTAAAATTCTCTCATTTACATATCAACTTCAGATTTACTGGTTTCGCTGATCTAAATTTTCTTTACTAGACATTATTTGGAAGTAGCTCACTAGAGTTATCATATTTAATGTCTAGAGATCCAAAGGCGAATATAAAATATCTTACTTATTTGTTGTATAATAAGTTATTTGGTGATGTTGAAATGCCCAAATATAGTATAACACCATTCATAAACTACTTATGACCAAATTTGTACAGATATTAAATATTGCGTGGCCACTTTTGGCAGATTTTAATTTAGATAATGTAAACACAGGTACAATTATTATACCACTAGATCATTCAGATTCTATTCAAAAAATTTTAGATTGTTTAAAAAGAGGTAAAATCTTTCTACTTATAATATGCTAATATTTGAAAAAAAGTAACGGGCCCCATAAAATACACCTGCGTTAGCAGGGGTATTTCATAGGGCCTGTTACTTTATTTCAAATAGCAACAGAGATTAGTGCATCATAAGTAACTCGTTAAGTGAAGATTTTTAAACTTTGACGAAGTGTCATAGTTACATAACTTTCGTCTTTCATGTCCCCATAAAATTGGGCAAAATTCAAACTCTGCCAAATCGGAGTTGGAATTTTTAATTGTCTTTTATTTAATATAATAATGATAATTAAAAATTAAAAAAAATTACTAAAAAAGAAAACCAAGCAAAACGACAATAACAAAAAAAGAAAAAAACAACTATATTTAAAAAGAAATGATAACATTAAATTAAAAAAAAAGAAAAATGATAAATTTAAAAATTAAAAAAAAACTAATAAATTAAAGAATAGAAAAGAAAGTTAAATAAAAAAAAAAAGTCAAATAAAAAGCAATATTAAAAAATAAAAAAAAAACTCTCTGAAAAATAAAAAATAAGCAAAATTGATACAGAATAAAATAAATACAATAACTTTAAAAAAAATTAATATATAAAAATAAATTAAATTAACTTAAATTAAATAAAATAAAATATAAAAATAAGTAAATTAAATTAACTTAAATCAAAAAAATACAAAAAATTAAAAAATAAGTAAAAATAATTAAAATAAATTAAACCAAATTAAATCAAATATAAAAATACATATATAAAATAAAATAAAATGTAAAATAAAATATAAAATAAAATAAAATAATTAAAAAATGCTATAATTAAATATAAAAACATGCAAAATAAATAAATTAAACATAAAAAAAATACTACTAAAAATAATTAAATTAAATATATAAAATTAATTTAAATAAATTAAATAAATTATAAAAACATGTAAAATAAAAATAATTAAAAATAAATTAAATTAACTTAAATATAAAAACGTGTAAATTAAATAAAATAAAATGTAAAAACATGTAAATTAAATTAAATTAATTAAATTAAACTAAATTAAAAAATTTAAAAAATTAAAAAAATAAGCAAAAATAATTAAAAAATAATTAAAATAAATCAAATTAAATTAAATAAAATACATATATAAAATAAAATAAATGATTAAATATAAATTAAATAAAATGTAAAATAAAATAAAATAAATATAAAATGATATATTAAAAACTGCTGTTTTAAAAAATAAATTAAAGGAAATATAAAAACAAACAAAATAAATCAAATCAAATTAAATATAAACCATATAAAATAAATAGAAAATAAGAAAAAATATAAAATTATGCAAAATAAAATAAAATAAATTAAATTAAATATGCAAAAAATACTAATAAAAAATAATTAAAATAATTATATAAAATTAAATTAAATAAATTAAATAAAATATAAAAACATGTAAAATAAAATAAAAATAATTAAAAATAAATTAAATAAACTTAAATATAAAAATGTTTAATTAAATAAAATAAAATATAATTAAATTAAATTAAAAAATTTAAAAAAAACTTGTATACAGGTTGGTGTGACAAGTCGCATTTGGGCATGTTAATCGCAGCTGGGTGATG